ATATATATATATATATATAATAAAAGCAATGTTTTTCTGTAAATATTGCTACATTTTCACTTGTTTATTTAAACATTTTAAATTGAGCCTTTGTTGGTAGCTTATAACAAAGAAAAAGGGAGAAAAAAATTTCTCTTTTTTAATCCATAATGAAATTAATGTTAAGTAAAATAGCTTATTAAATATAGCTAAAAATGGGAAATTTCAGAAAATAAACGATGATTTATGAATATCTTCTATGTTCATGCAAATTGCTAGAATTTAGAAGGAATGAATACTGTAATGCATATTCAAAATAAATTACATAAAACTAGTCTTATGGTGGAGACTGGAGATAATAGTAGAATATAGAACATGTCATGAAACAAAGGAATGTGAAGAAAAAATGCAAATTAGCAGAAATGACTGAAGTGGGGCTCTTTAAATTACACGGATTGGAAATTCATCATCCTCATAAGTTTCAGCTTTAAAATATTTATGGTTAGTTATATGAATCCTCACACTATATTATTTTCTGCTAGGTATTGCATGGTGTTCTAAAATTATTTCCAAGTGGTTAATTTTGAACTTCTTTTATTCCTGTTATATTAGAATCATACCTTTTTTGGAATAGTTATATACATACCACTTAATTTGGAATATTTATATACATACCACTTAATCCCTATGCATTTACATGGCTAACACCTAAACTCCAATGTTTGTATATAAGATACCTTATGAATGTTCATATATATGGTTTTTATGTGTACATTTTTTTTTGCCTTTCATTATTCATGCCTCAGTTATAAGTCTGTTTCCTATGAATAAAAAAACAATCTATTTTCTATTATATTTATTTATAATAGATGTTACTCCATCATCTCACTAATATAATTTTCTTCTTAACAAATTTCTGTTTTTTGATTTATTTTATCACACATTCATTTTAATAATCTCCTTAAATTGATTGCTTCATGGAAATCTTGAGAAGAGAGAAATGGCTTCTTATGAATGATCCAATAACTTTACTTGATTTCATGTGCAATTTACTAAATACTCACCTTTATGTTCAAACGGAAGTGATAATCTGCATGACCCAATTGGAAACTCTAGCTTCTGCTTCAGAACCTGCAAGTCAGGCTTGTATAACCAAACATCTCCCTTTCTTTCAACAAGACGCTTGCATGAAAAGAGATTTGGTATCGGAAGACAGTCCGTAACAAGAAGAACATGCGCTGGATCATGACCTTCCTTCATCTCTACCGAAAGCTTGGCTGCCACATGCTGTAAATGTAACCGAGCAATATCCCTCGTCCAGTTTCCAGTTTTATTACAAGGAAGCTTGACGGCAACTAAGCCAAATTGTGATCCTTTTGGCAGCTTGGGGTATGGAAGCTTTTTGCAATATGGTTCATCTGATTCTTCTTCTTCGTCAATCCATTCTGGATAGAGATCATCCCACGTAAGATCTATGGCAGCTCTGTCGAGATGAACTTCGGAAATTTTCGAAGTTGGGAAGAGGTTTTGCCAAAGCTTGATCTCAGTGCTGTTGAAGTTTAATAATCCAACGTTCAGATTTTCTTTCTTTTCATGTAGCTTTTTTGTGATTTGTAGTGTCTGAGCCCAAGGAGTATTTAAGTTTGACGTGTATCTTTGATCGGGGATTTTCTCACTCCACATCCATCCAACACTTGCAAAACTTGAACTGCGTTGTTGAGTTTTTTTGAAGTTAGAGATTGGGTTCATCTTTGCATGACATGTGTGCAAAAAGTTGTTTATTGTGAGTTCTCTATTTTTAACTACTAGTTTAGCCAATAAAGCCTGTTTTTCTTTTCATTTTCCATATCTAAAAGCAGATAAATTTAATATGTGGAAGTTTGGCACAACATAAAATACTACACATGAGTCCAATGGTGAGGCGTCACGTGTCAAGTGGGCCCCACCGTTTTTAACACCGACCAATGTCAACGTATTATGGTGAGTCACATTTGACATGTGGCACCCCATCATTGGACTCCGAACGTAAATTGCGTATGTAGTCCATATGTAATATTTTCTCTTGGCACAGAGCTATGGTGAATAAGACGAGAAGTAATTGTACGTACCGAGCAAAACTGTACGATGATTTTGCATAACGACACTTTAACGGAGAGTAAAAAAGTTTAAACAAGATTCCAAGCATAAGAAATACAGTGAGGCACTTCAACCAATGAAGTTTGCTGTTTGAACTCCTTTCTTGACACGAATTGGCCAACTTAGCTGTTTCTTTGGGACTACTGCTTTTGTAGGTTCTTCTTCGACTTGCATCAGAACTGAATAAATTTAAATAAAATCCATAAGATCTTGTTTTTTTTTTTTACTTGAGGCTAATCAATAAGAAAACAACATGTAAATTATTCACCTCTTGGAAGAAAACAGAAAGAAGAGTGGTGTAAAACAAGTCAATTGCATTATTTTAGAGATATAGGAGATTAAAATTCTTGTTTCTAGCTTCGAAGACTTCATCATAAAGAACAAAATGAAAATAAATGAAATGATAATTAAAAGTTTAATAAAAAAATCAATCTCATAAGTGAATGAGGAGATTATGTCTCATCGGGCCATCTTGTACTTTACAAATATTGATCAACAATGAAAATTTTGGAGAACCATGGAAGGTGAAGGGTTTCCTTCCATTACTTTTTGTATTTTGATGATTCTAGTGATGCTAAATGACTAATAAATTATTACAGATTTAAATATGGACAAAAATAATGAACACAAAATAATAAAATGACCATAAGATTCAAAAGGTATTGAATAAGCTTAAACATTTGTGATGAAAAAAAATTAGATTTCATCATCATCTTTCTCCCTTGGCACATTTGAATAAAAAAGCTTTATTTGGATGTTTTTGTTTTCTTATTGTTTGGCCTTCGCATGTAGTAATAGTCACATAGTCATTTTAAGTTTTTAATGAGAATGGGCATGTTAATGAAAAGGAGATATAAGATCTTTTACACTTAAGCAACCACAATATAAATTACTTTTTTTCTTTTTTTTTAATTAAGTTTTTTTTTTTTTTTATGTTTTTTGCCTTCACCAAAATTGCCTTAGAGAATTATGATAACAAGTTTTATTGACAACAATATAGATAGGCACATAAGTAAATACATACTTTAATTGAGGCATTGGCTTCCAAATTCCTAGGTTAATTTTCATTAATGATCATGTTAGCACTTCCCTCAATCTATGCTCCCATCATGATCCTTAATCTTATCCAACTATTTGGCATCGGATTTATGATGAATTCTTGCATTTCATTTGTTACTATTGAGTTTGTTTGAGTTGTTAAAATTATTCCTTATGTAAAATTTAAAGCAAATTTTATCCACATAACTCTGATATACCCACTTCTCATTTATGATCCTATCATACTAATTTTATTTACTCATTTAATCTATTTTTTCCTTTCTTCTATGTATGTGTTCAAACATCTATGTCTATCTTGAATGATATTAAATTAAAACAAAATCAATAAAACCTTAAAGTACCTCAAAAAGGATTATTGCACAAAAAACTTCTTTCAAAACCTAAATTGAGTTAAAAATGATCATAGCATATAAAAATATGGTTTCATAAGATATTGCTAATCAACCTTGTTTTTGATGAACTAGCAGACTCAACTAATATTAATGCTTAGGGTTCCATTGAGCCTTAGACCATTATATTTAACTATCTCATCTAGTATATGATGGAACTATCTATCATATCTTCTTGAAAACTTAAAGGAATCTATGCCTGGCCACCTAAGATGCTTACTTATTTTAAACCTTGGTAACTCATGATCTATACATTGTCATACTTAGCTAATTAGGCACTCTTTTGAGTTAAAACCAACACACCCATATGTTCCTTGAAAAACTAGGTGCTTGTTCTAACTTTGTTTCATTAATTGACCTAGCCTAAGGACATCTTGATGGCATGTATATTGATTGATCTAAGGGGAAGTTTTGTTGTAAACATCTTAAATTCAAGGTTAATCTAAATGTAATATATTTAAAATTTATAATGCCCTTATTTGTGTTTGGTTGAAAAAAATATAAATAAAAACGAAAAATTTTTAAATATGCATCCTAGGTTAGGAAAGGAGCTAGGATAGAGGACTTTGCATTAATTGCATCTTCATAGACAACAAGCACTTAATAAAGGCCAATAATCAATTTAATAATATTTACATAGAATTCATGATATTGGGTCTCTAGTCGGAGCTTGTCGGGCCTAGCAACAATGGGAGCTCACTATAATACTAAGCTTTAATGAGAACTAAAAAGTAAAAGCTTCTTAATATTGACATGGATAGTGGGTCACTAGTAAGAGCTCCTTAGGGTAGAAAACACTTGAGCTCGATCATGAGTGAGAGCATAGGTTATCATGCCTTGTATTTGAAATTCATCTAATTTAAGCAAACTTCAAATATGCTTAAAATGAATTATGTAATATATTCAAAACTTGTTGTAAAAATACTTTGGATTTCTTCTACACTTAAAAAAATAACATAAAAATTAAATATAATATGTTGTAAATGTTTTACACTTGTAACAAATAGCCTTAAAGTTGTCCTAGATTACCTTGGGTAATTATAATCAATCTACTATTAAAATTGCAATAACTAAGGTTGACTTAATCAAATGAAATCCTAATAAACTTGGGCTCACCTAGCCTATTATTACATCTTATATAATTAATATGGATGAGCTCAAACAATCTTCCTAGTTGGCTCCTTATAAACCCAACATCTACTACAATTAGAAATAATTTATAAATTAGCTCATGTAAGCCAACAAGTATAAAAGTCTCTTAAGCAAAGCCTACATTAACCTAGTGAAACCTAGTGGTGATCAATCTTAATCGCTTGTCTATAGATCAATTGTCAATATTATGAAACCTAGCTACTTCTCTGACTCATGGGCTTTGCAGTAATGGTGAAGATGACAATAAAGTATTTTAGTTGATCAAAAGCTTCTTTGCACTCTTTGGCCCACGTAAAGTGATTTGTGTTCCTCATAACCATAAACAATGTTGAATATCTATCTTCAAAATTACAGATAAATTTGTGAATTCCCATCATTTGTCAACTCAGATTATGCAATTCCTTTACATTTCTTAGTGGTGACATATCCAGTATCACCCTCACTTTCTTAGGATTAACTCTAATTCTCTCCGATGTAAGCAAATATCAAAGAAATTTTCTAGAGCTAAACGAAAGATGCTTTTCAGCAGGTTAAATTTTAGGTTGAACTTTCTTAAGTATTGAAAGCCTCCTTTAAATTTTGTATGTGATGTTCTGGTGATTTGATTTTAATTAAGAGTTCATTAATATAGAGATTGACATTTATCCTCTTTTGATTTTAAAAATTACATCCATCAATTTTTTGTATGTCACCCCAACATTTTTTAAGCAAAAAAGACATTATGTTATAATAATTTACACCATCCTTTATAATGCAAGCAATTTTTTAACTATTCGTTAGACACGTCTTGAATTTGTGATATTCTGAGAATCCATCCAAAAAGCTCATGATTGAATAAAACATGATAGATCAGTGTGTCAATTCATAGCAATGGATAACTATCTTTTGGGCAATCAAAGTTAATGTTTGTATAACCTCCATTTCTTATTTGTCTTTTAGACCATGATAACATTTACCAATTAGTAATACTACACTTATAAATTTGGCATCTATCAACTTCATAACTTGTTGGGTAGGATCAACCAAGGTAGTTGTCACATGTCTCACAATTGTTTAATTTCTCTTAACTCCAAGGCTTACACACTATATCATTGATAAGCTATGTCAATGCTAATTTCGAGCAACTCGCTTATTATCCATGTGAACACATCTTAGTACTCTTGTTTGGTCCATGAGATCATTGGACATTAGAACTTCCTTCAAATCTTTAGTTGTTTCCAAATTACTTCTCTTTTGTACATTAAGTCATCAGAGATCCTCTTTTATGTTTCCCACAACATGGAGGTATCAAGCTCAATATAACACTACATCTCCTTGAATGGTAATTTGCGCCCCTCCTGAAAACTTAACAATGATTTGGTTAGTAGAAACTATTTTCCTGAAGGTGTTCAATCTCAAGTTGTCGAAGATGACATTGTATGTGATAACGGTGCTTACCATAATAAAGTCAACTAATACTTTCAATTGTCTTCCACCTTCTCCCCAAGTCACTATTAATTAATTTATTATGTAATTTTCATTTGCTCTCCAAAGAAACCATACAATGGTCTTAAAGTTGTCACCATATGTGAAATTTTCATATTCATTTTCTTAAAAATTTTCTTGAACATAATTTTGACCAAACTGCTCTTTTTTTATTATGATTCTTCTGATTTAAGAAATCCTGATTAAGGCCGTAATAATGATGGTTTTGTTGTAAGGTTGTTGCTTATAGGTAAATCTATGTTGAGAAAAGTAGTAGAAATTTATTTAAGAGTGGCTGACCTAGCAAGAGTAGTCAAGTTGAATATCTCTAAAAATAATCATTTTAGGTTGGAACGATGTGAAGCTTTGAGTCCATCTCCTCTCAAGATGGTTAAGAATGCTCCCAATTTATACATGACTCTTATTGGGGCAAGCTCATTGTTTGTCTCTTCTACGGAAGACTTCCCTTTCTCCTTGTATTCACATCATAGGCCACAAATTCTTTAAACTTTATGGCCCTGATCAGCTCTTTAATGAGACATTTGAGATATTGGCACTCCTTGTGTTGTGTCGGTGATCTTTATGATAGACACAATATTTTTTTAGGTAAGGTAGATGACCTCCTACATGCATCAGGATGGGTTTTATAAATAGATCATTATTATGATGGCATTAACAACTTTAGTCTTGGATACTCCTAGTAGAGTCACTGCGGGGAAAGGGGTTGAAAGTGCTCTCGTCTCTTTTCAAGCAATCTTCATTCAAAATAATAGCTTCCCTGACTTGTTTTGTGACTTTGTTTTCTTGTTATAGTTGGAATGCATGTCCGTGCGAACTGATTTCTTCTCTCCATCTAAACTTTTAGGCAATGTTTCTTGAACTGATTTTTTTTCTTGCAAGTTTTAGTAGAATTTGACAAAAAGATGTACTCTTTGGTAGATATGTAATTGTTGGCCTGCTCTAGGAATTTGATCTAAGCTTTCAATCACTTAAGATCAAGAGTGTATCTTAAATGACATTCCCTTGAACCCTTAGCTAATGCTGCATGAGAAACTATTGGTTTTATATCTCTAAAATCTAGCATATTCCGCTGGAACTTAGTAATAAAACTTCTCAAGCTTTTCGCTCTTGAAAAATTTTTAAAAGAGCCTGTGAATTGAAGTCATTTGCGGTTTTTGGCTAATAGCTAATTGAGCTATTAACATTTTATTATACTCGTTGGAGGATGTGATAACTCCCACCAATAAATTATTAAAATATCAGAGCGCTGACTCCTTCAATGTCATAAAAAATAATTGACACTTCAAAATGTCATTTATTTAAGGTATGTACATTGCTAACTCAAATGAGGTTACATCCAAGGATGGAATCTTAAATTTTTTTAAGTGCCTCACCTTCAATAATTTCTCTCAAAAATGCATTCTTGAGTGACTTCTTCCTTTTCTTTTTCTCCCTTCATCTCTCCTTTTAGTCATCTGAAGAGATATATCTCTCATCCTTTGGAGTGCCATTTTCATCAGTTTTTTTTGTCAGTATATATTGGTGAAGGAGCTCTTCATGCTCTTCTTTGATAGTTTATGGTTGTCAACTATGGATCCTAAAAATCTCGTCTTGGTTGTAGAGTTTGTCTTGTGAGAGCTTATCTTCTTGCTTGTATCATGGTTGCCATTTCATCATTTGGTTTGTTTATTTATTCATGACAAATTCTTGAGTGCAATTCATGTTAATTTTTGTTTTATTCTTCACACAAGTTCTTTTCTTTTTTTTTTGGTTTAAACTATGATTCCACACTCGCTGCATATTTTAGGATGTTGAATCCCAGAATGACTATGGGCTTATACAATCTAGCAAGACTCGCAGAGGAAGTAGAGAAGAATGGAATGCGCTATTTAGGATAAGGAGGAAAGAGAGAGCTGTTCCGGATCAGGCCCCTCTAAGGGTATAAGATAACCCCTATTTATAAAACTTGAGATGATCTCTCTATTTTATTGGGTTACATAGAGGCAATATTTAATAAATTAGTATAGTATGGTGTTTGCTGATATAGCCTAATGATGTCAGACTGATGTGATGCAGAGAATAGATTAGGCGCAGTCGGGTGCATGTTCCTTCTTTATTCGAAACAAGTACCCAACAAGGGGCACTTGACTTGTTAACCAACAGTAGGAACTAGATAGCGGGAACTCAATAACAAAAACTCGACAATATGAACTTATTAACAGGAACCCGACAATAAGAAATTATTAATGGGAACCCGACAACATAAACCCAACAACAATAACCTGATAGATGGATCTTTCGAGGGTTAGGCTATCAAAACCTCATGGGCCTACTAGGACCTCCATCTACCCATAATAATTACTTTTTTTTGTGTGTGTGTATTTCTCTCCCTTTCAAAAAGATTCTCATGAAACAATGTAGGGGAGGTCATGTCTTCTATAAGACTATCATTCAAAATGATGCATATCTTTCTTTTATTTTTCCATCACAAGGGTGTTCTAAAGCCCACATAAATTTGTGGTTTGAAAAAATTAGGAAAAATGTCAACAATTTCTGATTTTTACATAATAACTACTCAAAATATTTAAAATAATAATTTAACAATCCTAATTTTAAATATAATATTTTAATCACTCAAAATCACAAATATAATATTTTAATCAACCTAAAACTTCACTCAAAACCTCATGAGTGAGCTTAGAAGGGTGATCATAATGATAAAATTGTTAAAACATTATATGTAAGCTTTAGATGGCTAAAATATTATTAAATATTTTGAATAGTTGACATATAGAAATCTCTTAATATTTAATTTTAATAAGTTTGATACAGAACTAAATATACATAGGAAATAATCACACATTTGTTTTTGACAATTTAGAAAAAAAAAAATTGCCTTATCATTGAAACTCATGATCATTCCAAACAAATGTTCAATTTTCCACCTACCAAACAATTAAAATAATATTTTTCTCACCTAATCTCAACTCAATTCATTTAACTTCTTTTTATTTTCTCCCTTCTATAACGCTGGTCTAACAGAAGGCTGCCTTTACTGTGCAGCGTCTTGCCGGTTAGCGCTAAAAAAATGAGATTAGTTAATGAAAAATATTAACAAAAAACAATTACTTTCTATGTGAAATGTGAACTGAAAAAGGCTAACAAAGTTGAGAGCCGCACGCTCAGGTAGATCTAAAGATAGCAAAAGCAGACCTAAGATAAGGACGCTCAGGCAGATCTACAAAAAAAAAACAGATCTAAGCTTAAAGAAGCATCCTTTTCTGATAGATCACCAAGTTGAGTTGGTGAAGAATGGAGGCGACTGCGAAGACATTAATTGCAAGATAATTGATTTGGTAGGTGAATTGTGCTTTTAGAGATGGCTAAAATGATGGTCCTAATGACTTAACTGGATAAAAGAACATATTTTAGAGACAATTGATTTGATTTCTCATATGGCTCATAAAGTTGGTACTGTTGCAGATACTGAAAATTGGTACTGTTTTTCAGATATTCAGTAGAAGGATATATATATATATATATATATA